AAATATTGCAATTCAAGTCTTATAATACAAGTTGTATTTTTTATTATATAACTAGTAATAATTTTTTAACTACAATAGGGTTTAAACCTTTTTTATATAATTCAAATTTATTTTTTATAAAATTATTTAATAATTTTAAGAGTAATATTTCTTTAAATAGCATACTACAGGTAGTACACTAAAATTTGCAAAAATGATAGTAGATAGAAAATATTTTTATTTCAACAACTTTATTAATAAATTAAAAAAATTTTGCCAAACTATAGTATTTATCAGATTTTTGTATATAGATTTTTAAATGCTTTTCTTCAACTGTATTGCCGGTAGTACAAATCGTGAAATCCTATCCATTAATATGTTAAAAGTGGTTTATTTTTCATGTTAAAAACTGGGTTTATTTTTCATACGTTAAAATCAGGTTCAAAACTCTGGCTTGAATAATCATAATTCTAGTTCAAATTTTTAGACTTCTACTAATATACCAAGTCTTAAAAATTTGAACCGGTACAAAAAATATGGTATGGTATCGTTATTATGTGTAACATTGTAAAGAATCTAATTGGCCAATTTTATCAAACAGACCAATCAGATTCTTTGTTGAGTCCGATATGTGCTGTATGCGTATGTACGTATATAGGTGCTTAGGAACGCCCTAAAGCCGATGATTTAGGAAATATTTTCACTTATTATGTCCGTTTAAAGTCGTCACCTGCATGCATCTGCATGTTAATTAAGCATAAAAAAAAAAACCGGTAGATTTATGATAATTTTTCTTTCAAACAAAATGTTTTTAAGTAAAATAAAAAAATATATTTGCTACTACCTCCAGCGAGTATGTGCTTGACGACGATGATGACGAAGTTGCTTCCATCGTCGAACATTTGACCGACAATTGGCAAGAAGAGGTTTCTGAGGAACAGATCGATTCTTCGTTGAACTATCATTATCATGTCATTTTAAAATCCATGCCAATAAAAAGAAGAAACCATTCGGTGTCGACTACCGGTCCAAGAAGAAGATATAACATATTATTATTTGGCGATAGTTTAACTGCTGGTAAGTCTTTAATAATTTGTTCTAATTGTTAGTGGATTATTGGTGAATAATTGGTGGGTTAACGGTGAATTAATGGTAACTGATGATTGGATGACAAGCTAACTGTAATATTATAGTGAATTAATGGTAAATTGATGGTAAATTGATGGTGAATTGGTGAATATGATGAATGGATGGTAGAAATGATCAATCGATAATATCATGATCATATTATGGAATAGTATGATTGTCGGCATTATAGTTATAGTTACATGAGATTATTAATTTATCATTTATCAATAGTCCTTCACTTTTTCTGTAATTTCGATTTTGGATCCGATATTAATGACATTTTTATTTAAATAGGATGGGTAAAAAATGCTGATGGTTATCGTACTTATCAGCCCTACGGACTAAGGGTTCAAAAAAGATTCGAAGATGAAGGTTTAGATGTAGAGGTATGATTGTTTTATTCGTCTATAATATATTTTTTTATTAAACTATTCAATGAATCATTAGGTTACTGTTAGTGCTGTTCCTGGTGAATGTGTTGTTCAATCTATGGAAGAAAGATTAATGTATGAACTAGAACAGCCGGTTAAATGGTATGACTGGGTTGTCATTCTAGGAGGTAATAATGATAGTATCATTTATGTATTTATTCATTTTTTATTCGTTTATATATTTTGTTAATGCTCTGAACTTTCTACGAAATTTGTCTTTTAGGAACACATGATGTAATCAATGGATATTCTGCTTGGGATATCTTTGATGGCCTAACAAAACTATATGTATTATGTTCAAAACATGGTGCTCGAGTATTAGGTGTAACTATTCCTGAGTTCAACTGGGTAATTTATTACATCTGATTAATATCTGCTTTTCATATCTGTTTTATTAATTTCTCTAAATATAATTATCATCATTTTAGGATCTTGTAAATCACCTTGATTATCAGCGCCGTATAGTAAACGAACATTTAATGTGTGTCACATGAAAACTCTTTATTGTCACTTAATTTGTCATTTTGCGATTTCTTGCCATTTTCATACATAATATGAGTGTCGACAAGCGAAAACAGGGAATTCTTGATTTTTTGAAATTCCGCTTACTGATCTGATCACTGATGAATTTAAATTAAGCACAACATAAATTATATGGTGTGTTAAATTACATTTTTCGGGGGTTGATCTGTAAAATTAATTTCGGAAAATTCACAATTCCCTGTTTTCGCTTGTCGACACTCATAAATATATATATATATTGTTTTTTTTAGTGTGTACAACAATTCTACCTCAAGGGATTATTATACTCTTTTCTACCTGGACAAATTTCTCCCAATGCGTAGTTTAACGGCAGATCAACGTAGAATCTATTGGGATCGTGATGGTGTTCATCTTACGGAGGACGGCTATAGTTTAATGGGTGATATGGTATGTCTACTTTTCTGTTTAATATCATATTTGACTCATTTTATTGTAAATGCTATCCAGTCAGTATAATAACCATAATATAAATATAGATATCCGACATACTTATCTGTGAAAGTTCATGGACTAATCAAGATAAATGGTATTCAAAATCTGCTGAAGAAAAGGGATATGAATTGTATTTAAAATCTGCTAGAGGTGGCAATTTAGAGAGACAATATCATCTTGGACTCTGCTATGAAAATGGAATAGGTACTAATGTAAATAAAGAAAAGGCATTTAAATGGTATTTAAAATCTGCCGAAGGTGGTAATTTAGAAGGATAATATCATCTTGGACTCTGTTACGAAAAAGGTATAGGTACTAATGTGAACATAAAAGAGGCATTTAAATTGTATTTAAAATCTGCTGAAGGTGGCAATTTAGAAGGACAGTATCATCTTGGATTCTGTTATGAAAATGGAATAGGCACTAATGAGAATAAAGAAGAGGCATTTAAATGGCATTTAAGATCTGCTAAAGGTGACAATCCTAAAGGACAATATCATATTGGGTTCTGGTATGAAAATGGAATAGGTACTAATGAGAACAAAAAAGAGGCATTTAAATGGTATTTAAAATCTGCTGAAGGTAACAATTTCGAAGGACAGCATCATCTTGGACTCTGCTATGAAAATGGAATAGGTACTAATGAGAACAAAAAAGAGGCATTTAAATGGTATTTAAAATCTGCTGAAGGTGGCAATTTCGAAGGACAGCATTATCTTGGACTCTGCTATGAAAATGGAATAGGTACTGATGAGAATAAAGAAGAGGCGTTTAAATGGTATTTAAAATCTGCTGAAGGTGGCAATTTCGAAGGACTATATCTTGGACTCTGTTATGAAAATGGAATAGGTACTAATGAGAATAAAGAAGAGGCATTTAAATGGTATTTAAAATCTGCCAAATGTGATAATCCAAAAGGACAATATCATCTTGGAATCTGCTATGACAATGGAATAGGTACTAATGAGAACAAAAAAGAAGCATTTAAATGGTATTTAAAATCTGCTGAAGGTGGCAATTTAGAAGGACAATATCGTCTTGGACTCTGCTATGAAAATGGAATAGGTACTAATGAGAATAAAGAAGAGGCATTTAAATGGTATTTAAAATCTGCTGAAGGTGGTAATTTAGAAGGACAATATCATCTTGGACTCTGCTACGAAAAAGGTATAGGTGCTAATGAGAATAAAGAAGAGGCATTTAAATGGTATTTAAAATCTGCCAAAGGTGATAATCCAAAAGGACAATATCATCTTGGACTTTGCTATGACAATGGAATAGGTACTAATGAGAATAAAGAAGAGGCATTTAAATGGTATTTAAAATCTGCCGAAGATGGTAATTTAGAAGGACAATATCATCTTGGACACTGCTACGAAAAAGGTATAGGTACTAACGAGAACAAACAAGAGGCATTTAAATGGTATATAAAATCCGCTGAAGCCGGTAGTCCTGAAGGTCAATATCATCTCGGATATTGTTATGAAAACGGAATCGGAGTTGAAAAGGACAACTATAAGGCATTTATCTATTACAAAAAATCTGCTATGAACAATAAAAAAGGATCAGACAAAATGATAAGTTCTGATGGAATGTTTTATATGGGAGTTTTTTATGAAAATGGAATTGGAGTCGAAAAAGATGAAGATAAAGCATTCAAATTTTATAACAAATCAGCTAAAATGAAGAACAGCGAAGGAATATATCGCGTTGGCATTTGTTACCAAGATGGAATTGGAGTAAAAAAGAATATGAATAAAACGCTCATTAATTATAAAAAATCAGCAGAGTTAGGAAATATTAATGGAATGTATGCTCTTAGCAATTGTTATACAAAAGGAATTGGAACATCAATAAATTTGCAAATGGCTGAGCATTGGTATTACATGTAAGTATTATTTTTTTATCTACACTCGAAATTATTCAAATAGGCTTACTTATTTAATATTATATTAGGGGTGAAATTTCCTCAACAGGTAATTGATTATGACTAAATTTATGCAGTAATAGTGTGAGAACTTAAAAATCTGAAATTTTTAGGTGCAAATGAAAGAATGCAAAATCTTGATATAGATGATGACTTAAAAAGAATATTGAATGAAGTTAATTGTCCATGGATTCCTTATAACGAACTTGAAATCATCAAAGAAATAGGACAAGGTGGATTTGCAACTGTATTTCATGCTAGATGGCGGAATCAAAACAATGTAACAAGAGATGTTGCGCTTAGATCACTCGACAGGTCACCAGCAATTAAAGATTATAGTACTTCATTTAAAGAAGAGGTAATTTTATTTATTGCATTGATATTTAAATATGAGTTTTCTACTAATTATGGAATCTTTAATAAAACAAGTTAAAGGCATGTTTTGATATGTATAATGAGAAAACCAAATTTTTAAAATGCTATGGCGTAACAAAAGATAGCAATTCAAAAAACTATATTAATGTTCTTGAATATGCGGCAAAAGGGTCTCTACGTGATAATCTAAATTCTATAGCGCAAATGAAATGGAAAGATAAGATTGCTATATTGCTTCATATTACTTCAGATCTTCATACTATTCATAAAAGTCATATCCACCGAGATTTACATAGTGGAAATATATTGCAAAATAGTTTGCATGATGCATATATTACAGATTTGGGACTTTCAATATCAGCAAATATGGCCAAACATAATAGTCGCTGTGGGGTATTACCATACATGGCCCCAGAAGTATTAAAGAAAGAACCATATACTACAGCATCTGATATTTACTCATTTGGTGTAATTATGTGGGAAATTTCTGCTGGAAAACCTTATGATCAAAAAGATATTAATCTTATTTGTAATGGTTTTCGCCCAGAATTTTCAAAAGAAATACCATTAATATATATTGATTTGGCGAATAATTGTATGGATACAGTTGCATTTGATCGCCCTTCAGCAAGTGATGTTCAAAAACTTTTAGACAGTTGGACAAAAGAAAATTACTATGTAAAAATTTTCGAAAAAGCTGATTTAAAAAGTGATAAATATAGATCTGAACTTCTAACAAATGCGAGGATTCCACAATCAAATATTCCTTAATTGACTCAGAATTAACGAACCAAACTATTGACTCACATGATTTTTGTTAAACCCAATTAGCAAGTAAACAACTAATTAATTTTTAAAAAATTTTTAACAATTAGTCAACTAATACGTATTTACTGGTAGGTTAATGACAATATTCTGATCTCAGATGTTTAATTTCCGAAACTGAGAGGGGAGAATCCAATCAAGGGCGCAAACATTTTTTTTCGTACTTTTATCAATTCTTTATTATTATTATTATTTTGAATATATTGATTTTTTTGAAAAGGGAAGCTTTTTTCTAAGTGGCAAAACCACTATTCTTAGACCAGAATAGATAAACATATTCTAAAGGCAATTTCTATTTGTACACCCGAGTATGAAACACAGGAATAGCTCAAAATTTTGTCTATGAAACCAATTTTCGAGTTCTAACAAAAAAAAATCCACATAAAATTTTAGTATAAACTTCCCTAACCCTAATCTCTAACCTAACCTATTTTAACTTTAATTCAATTTTTTTTTTTAAATTTTGTATTAAATTTTCTTATAAATTATACTCGTGTTTCATACGCTTATAAATTTTCTATTCTAAAAACAATCTCATTACAAAATAATAATCGCAAATAGATTTAAAACTTGAATTAATTGTACAAATGGCGAATCATCGAACATACAAAATCAACACTTTCTCAAACTCTATAATATATAAAATTAAAACTTTACAGCTCGTACATCCAGGGATCATTATATTAAAGAAGTTCATTACAGTAAGCTTCTATTGTATAGAATTTTATAAACGAATCTGCATTTATAACCGAATTAACACGAATAAATAATTCGAGCGAAACTATAAAAGATTGTAGAGTTCTAAAACATACTCACGAGTTGAATAATGGAAATAATCAGTCTGTAATGCAGCTCACTTTCGCTATAGTGAACACTTGATATAATCAAGAATTTTGAATACAAATTATTAAAGTATTTATTCAATTCTGGATATAACGAACCTCTATAGAGAACTCTGGATATAGTGAACTCAATTTTAAATTTTCATAATGATTCAGTATAAAAGAGCTATGGTTTCTTAGGATGACAGTAATTTTCTATAACGAACTTTTTTTCTTCCAGGATCATCAATTCGTTATAGAAAGAGTTTACTATAACTAATATTTTGGATCTTCTATAGTATAGGTGGGCAAATGAAATTATAATATATAAAAAACTACCTATTTTTAGCTAATTTAAACTTTAATCCTCACCCTAATCCTAACTATCAATAAATTTGCTTAAATTAATTCAAAATAGCTAATTTTTATATGCCACTTATACTATAAATCATCCAAATAGGATGCCAGATTGTCACGTGACTGCACCCTCAATTGGTGGTAACGCTAGATTTGTTGGAATTTTGTTAACTTAACAGGAGGTTTCAAAATTAACTTTTTTTCCAAAATAAGTGAGAGTTTAAAAGGTCCTAATTTCTTTTTTAGAATTCCGAATCAGAAAATTAAATAGGCATAGCCGGTGATAAATATTCATCGGTAAACGATTATGTAAATAAATACATACTTTAAAAAAAATAGAATTTATAAGTTGTTTATTTTGAAATAAATACGGCACTTATTTTATCTGAAATCGGACGCCTAATAATCAACATTGAAGGGTCTAATATATAATAACTTTGTTTAAGTCTTAAATATTTAAACTAGAATATCAAATAGAGCAAAATAATTGAGTTTAATTGCGTGATAATTTGCGTTTGAAAATGAAGCATTTTCTAAAATTACAAATTACATAATGTTGCAAACTTTTATATAAATTTACATCGCATAATGGATTTTTCATCTGATTGCTAATTGATTCAATTTCTTGGATAACTATTAAATGTAAATTTTCATTGTATAAGTTATATTTTCAAAAGAACGGTAATATTTCAAAATAACTCTGAACCTTTTACTAGCTGTACATTACACAAAAATAAAACTGAACATGTTAATCAAACAATCTCGTTAACATTTAACAAAAATTTTCATAAGTTATGTTGTCAGAAAACTTTCCCTTTAAAAAATCCAACCTAAGTTATATAAAAAGGGATAAAAGATACATCACAAACCAGGGACCCGGAAATTTTCCGAAACAATTTTTTGTCAAAAAATTTCAATCAATTTGCTGAACTTACAAGAACTTTGATCGAAAAAGTTTTGTGAAATTTAGGGATCAAATTTCTAGATAAACAAATAAATACATAATATGTTATGTTTGTCACCTAGCATTAGGTTATTAAAGGTACCCTATCAGTTATCGCTATAGTTGCTGTCCAAATATTGACCAAACTGGTTATATTTGAAATTTTGTAATTCATACAGTAAGTTTGGGACAAGTTCCACGGATTTAACTAGACCCAAATAATAGTTAATACCCTAGAAAGTCATAGTTATCGCAGATCAGATTAAAATGTAGTACAGATTTTTTAGCTTATTGACGTTAATAAATTTAGTAATTGATAAAGGCCAATCAGTTGTACAATCAGATATACAGTATTAATTTAAGTGTAGGATATAAATATAATACGTATTCTATATATAAACACACGCACAAATATCGATATATATACTTTTATATAATTTATAATATTTAATCTAATTGATTTGATATTCTCAAGGCGTCATATGAGCTGATTGATTTTTATATTGTTCCAGATTATATAAGATTATGCAGTGTTACTATAATAAATAAATCTTTCAATCATGAACGTTCTTTGGTCAATGTGAAAGAGCTGCATAATATTCTGAATTGGTTCAGTAATTCAAATTAGGGAAGTTTTTGAAAATTTATAACTTAATTTAATAAGGAATAATAGAGAAAAATTGCCTCTGACGGTTGCTTTTTTATTTATCAATTTAAGAGTAATTTAAAATAATTTATACTATTCTTTTATTTTTCGTTTTTCTTTGTTGGGTTAGTCAAAATTTATTGATTGATCATCTTGATATTATAAAGAAACCAAGCGGTTATCTGAATGAATATCTATTCGTATAATACAGTACCAAAAAAAAAAAGGAATACTAATACTGTAATTTTCTCTTTATAGAACTTTAATTAATTACACCAATTTTATGAAATACGAATTTATAATATATGCTATGCTAACAATGCAAAATTATTTACATTAATAGGCATTCGGACCTAACATTACATACATTTCCGATTGATTACAGGATTATGTGAAAAGAACCTGAAGTAGTAACTCTAAGTATGAGGTAAAAGTAACATTTCTAAAAGCAGCATTCTCTAAATGTTTATGGGGCAGCGTCAACTAAAACAAGGATTATTGCATTTTTTGCAAAAATGAATTAACTATACCATCATATAAAGCAGGAATTTTCCTGGCATTTAAAAGTAATAATTTATTTTTGCTGATGCCTACTTCTGTACTTTTTGAAATGCAGTGATTAAACGTGATCTAAAATTAGAATTTGGATACCCGGTTGTCGATCCTTGCTGCGGAGTCATAGAAAAGGATTTGTGTGATTGGCTAGCAAATGTCGATCCAACAGGTTATACTAACAATAGATCATCATTGATAAGTCTTACGCCCCATATAACCTTAATAACTGTCTTGTTATGTATCCCTCATTAATTATTTAATGTTAAGAATTTAAAAATTCATTAGATCGTTTAATTAAAATCATGATCAGAGTTAAAGATAAACTTAGGCGAGTATTATAGGTGAATTTCTTTATCGATATTGCTACCAATTCTTCCAAGGCTTCTGTTTTTCGTTAATCTATTATATCACGGAGGGATTCGGAATATTATTAGTAAGTCATTCAGCGCAAGAAATCTAAAAACCATAATTACACCTTAAAAAGACAAAATACAAACATTGAAATCTTAAATTATTAACGTCAATAAAGTGTGTATGTAAATACTTTTATTGAAGTCGATAATTTAAGAAATATGAATTTTAATGTATTACTTGATCATCTGATTGGCATAATCTATAAATTATCAGTTTTAAGTTTAATATGGATTTTGTCTCTATTAGGTGCAATTGTAGTTTTTAAATTTCTTGCACCGTACATAAATGTTAAACTATAAATGATTTTACTTTTTCCGATTGTTTGTCCTAAAACACGACATTTTGTCATACTAAAAGTATACCCACGTACAGTATATACAAACTAAATAATTTTCTTTATTAAACAAAATCAATTAATAATTCAAAATATAAGTGATTTGCTTTTGATCGCATTTTGTTATACTAAAAACATGTTTTTATACTCGTGTACAAAACATTTGTACGTACAAAACATTTTGTAAACTGATTATATTTGTTTACAAAATTTCAATATTAACAAAACTTATTCATGATCTACTGTCGTAACGGTAACTCAGGTAACGTACGTCAATTGTTGTTTATTTTTTGTATTTGATCTTCCGTATCTGTTTGTTCTGTTTATCTACCCTAAATTTGGGTTGGATCCAAATATGAATCCCTAAAACTGTAAGGATATCTATTTTGTACCCCTTTATGTTAGTGCCGGGACACTTTAAGAACAGTTAACCCAGTGATCGACAATCATTTGATAAACATATGGGGTGTTTCACATTAAAAAGGCCCATTTTGCAAATTTTTTGAAAAATGAGCTTTTATTAGATTCATGTAAAT